TTTTTTTTTTTTTTTTTTTTTTTTTTTTTTTTTTTTTTTTTTTTTTTTTTTTACAAATTTTTGTCCCTAAAAATATAGCATGAGCCTTTTTAATATTTTTTTCTTTTCGTACATTTAACTTTTTGAAAAAGCTTCAATTCAAATGGTAATTAAAAAAGCACATATACTGCAATAACCTTTTATTTTTCTTTTTTCTTTATTTAATTTAAATTTTATAATTAATGGTTGCACATTTAAGGACATTAAAAAGTAAAAAGACTTTTTTAAAACTAGAATAAAACTTTTTTTCAACAGGAAAAAAAAAAGAACAATAATAATTTATAACTAAAAAGAGAAAAGGAAAAAACCAACTACGTCTATTATATATAAGACTTTTTTTTTTTTTTTTTTTTTTACTAAATCCATTCTTTATTGAAATAATGTTAAAAATATATGCAGTTTCAGTTTTATTATCGTAAAATATATTAATATCTTTAAGATATGATTATATAATTTAAATAAATCATATATGAGGTCAAACAATATATATATTTAATAAAACGAGATAAATTTATATAATAGAAATATTTAGAAAAATAAAATGTAATATACACATCAAAAATAAAATATACACATATATTCATAATAAAATGTGGTTTTAATATTAATTTATATAAATTTGATGAAATAAAATATATTTTAGATTTAACTTTTATAATAAAATTAAGGAAATAAAAAATAGTATTGAAAAAGTAAAAATAATTTTTTTCTTTTTATCAGATTGAAAACTACTCACTTTTGACGCTCATTACTTTATTTTATTATTTTTGAATTCAAAAATAATAAAATACAAGCATCGCCGTTTTCACTTTTCATCATATTTTAAAATTACCATAATAATCATTAAAAGAAATAAAATTTTATTTTTTTAAATAAAAAATTAATATAAAAAAAAGTTATGGATTTTTTTTTTTTTTTTTTTTTTTTTTTTTGCTACGTTTAAAAATAAGTAGATATTAATATCATTGTATGTCGTTCTATTTGAGCAAAATTTGATGTTCGAATAAAATAACCTTCAATTCAATTTATTACACTAAACTATAATATCTTGTTAAATCAGTAAAAATATAAAAATCTTAGATGATATAATTTATATTTATTTTTCACATATATATATATATATATATATATATATATATATTTATTTTAGATATTTTAAAAATTTATTTATTTTACATGTGAAAAAGAAAAAGTATTTGAATATCATCCATTTTATAACAATCTCTAAATTACTTTGATAAAAAATATATATTAAATTTAATATGTGATTCCTTTATTAAAATTTCTTATCATATATAAAATATAAAGAATATTTCATTTTTCTGTAATTTTAAAGTATGAATATTAATTAGAAAATATACATTTCCCTTCAATGTTTTAGAATTTTAACATATATAAATGATTCCTTTTTTATATATATAATGATTTTAAATGCATTTTAGAAATGTAAAATATTTGGTTTTTTATTAAAAAAATATAACCATGTGACCTTTAACAATTTTGTTACATTCAATTATTATCATTATAAATTATTTTCCAAATAAATAAATATAAATACATATATATATGTATAACTTTTTTTATCTTAAATGAAAAGTTAAGAAATGTGTTTTTATGAACATACATAAAAATTGATATTTTTTATTTAAAATATAAATTAAAAAAAAAAAAATTGAAGTGCCACATTTTTACATATGTATAAAAAATTAAAGGTATAAAAAAAAAAAAGAAAAATATATTTTATTATTCTTTTTTTTTTTTTTTTTTATTATTATCTAATTGTAATGAACTATTTCATTTAATAAACTTACTACATTTAGATTTTTAATATTTTTTAATTTTAATTTCTTGATTATTTATTTTAAATATTTAATTAAATATTCTTATTATTAAATCTTTTTTTTTTTTTGATAATTATTTTTTAATTTATTTGTATTTTTACATTTTTTAACTGTAATAAATTACAATTCTTCATTTGCACTGTGCAAATTTTCTGATTCTTCATTACCTTCTTCAAAATTCTTCTGTTCATCAGATTCCTCTCCATTATTTGTATCTTGTTTCTGTATTTCATCGTCTATATTGATTTCCTCTTCATCTTTTTGATTGTCTCCATCTTCATCAATTTTCTTTGTCTCAAACATAGAAGGATCTAAATCTTCGATCTTTAAATTATTATCAACTCCCAATTTATGATTAATATGATCATAAACAATTTGAGCTAAATCTGCAGTGTCTTCTAAATCAAAACCTGATGCCAATTTAGCTGACTGATAAATAATTTTTATACTTTGAGTTAACTCAGGGTCTTTAGGATCTGATACAGATCTTTTTAATAAGTCAATCATAATTGGATGATCTGGATTAATTTCTAGTATTTTTTGACCACTCATAGCCTTTATATGATCTGAATTAGATACATTTATTTTCATTAACTTTTCCATTTGTCCTGATAATCCCC